AACAGAGAGATCAAAATGTCATGACCAAGTGTAACATTCAGTTTCTCGTACTCTCTTTAGCCAACATATGCCTTGGGCAGCCAACGTTCACAGATGCGAGTTTTGGTAAAAGACATTCATGTTCAGAAAGTTCTGGGATGGCTTGTATTTGTACATTGTCCATTGATTAAGGTATACAAGAGAAGTGCATTAAAACATAAGAGGTATCGAGCGTGTGCCATTCCGTAAAACCGACCGAATTCCAAATTCCTAAACGCCCATCGAGCTCATCTCATTTCGCGTCATCGCAGGATGTCGTCACATGATCCTCGTCCATCTTCCATTATCCCTTGACGCCTCACGCACAACCTTTTCAAGCTTTGTGTGGTGGCGGGCCAGGCGGTGGCGCGTACCCTCCACCATATGTAGGCTGGGGAGTCTGAAGCTCAACACCGTTCTGCTGGCCGTAGTAACTGCTATTCGCGCCTCCGCCACCGTAGTAACCGTTGTTATTGTTTGTGGCGGCAGAGTATGGCGGTGCAGGTTGCTGTTGGTTGCTGTAGTAAGGTGCGGCGGTTTGGTTGTTGTTGTAGGCGCCTGGGCGCGCGGCCCAACCTGTGCCGTAGAAGGGTTGGCGACCAGCTTTGCGGCGGCGACGAGCTGTCAGGCAACTGAGAGTGTGTTAGATCATGTTGCGATGAAGCTGGTAATGCGTTGATGCATAGAGGTAGAGGACTTACGAGCATAGTACGAAGAGAAGTAAGAAGCCCACGACGACTACTACGAGGACTACCCAGCGTACCCAGTTATTCCATGCTGAGTTTCCGCAGCGGTAGTAGCCATAGCCTTGGCGATAGCATGTTCTAGACATTGCGTATTAGAATCCGATTGTTTGTATGTTCGTGTCGCAAGTATCGATTGATTATGATGCGCAAGTATGGAGGAGGGAAAGCGCAAGACGTGAAGTTGAAGTGATTGGAGTTGGAAACAAGAGGAAAAAAGAGGAAGGAGACGTATTGTTGTATGGGCCCCGAGTGTAAAGATGCCGTGATATGCGGCGGCAGTCTGGGCGCAGCAACGTTGTGACGTCGTCTGTCGCAAACACACCGGCCTTGACCAAGCCGATCCGTTGATCCACCAAGCTTGCTTTCCCCAGAATAATAGTGCTACCGCGCCGCTTATGATTCGCGGCTAAGCTGTTGGCACCGCCACTAACAACAAGCGATGAAAGAGAAGATTATGATGATGGTGATGATGAATCGCGCAGCACTTACCCGTCGTCGAAGTATTGTCTACTTTGAAGATGCATGATTGTGATTGCCAACCAGCTATCAATCTCTCAGGTGAGAAGATATTTTACGTCTGTAGGGATCCGAGATGGAAATGGCGAAAGGGAATCAGAGGTAACGATGTAGAGTAGAGCAGAGAGAAACCGAAGAGCAGGGTTTCCGAACTGCTCTTATGACGATATACGCTCGAGAGGGGAAAGACGTGACCAGGGCTCAGCCACAGCCAAGATGGCCCTAGGCCGTCGGTAATCCGCACCCCGGCGTGCCCACTCTTGACGGGCGAAGCGGAGCTTGGTGACGATTACTCTGCTTACCACGACATCATTGGTTGACGGGAAGGACTTTTCGAGCTGGTGATTGTTCTCGCTGAGGCGCAGTTACGATGGAAGAGACCTGAGTAGGGCAGCGCAGTTTCTAGCCCATTCTCGAAGACTGAAAAGGGACTATGCGACGAAGGATGGTGCTGCCTGGACGACCTTGACTAAGATGACCAGAGCGATTTTTGCTCGGTGGCTCTCGGAGACCTTTGGGTTGCTGCGCCTGTTGCTTTCGTAATGTTGTATCGAGTCCAGACAGGCTAAGAGTACGTATCTCCGCCTCTTAGTTGCGAGACATGCGTGGCCGATCATGTCAGCAGTGCGCATGAGGTTTTCTGTTGCGTGTTCACTTAGCTGCCGATGTCGTGAGATGGTCGCACCACACGTGGTTCATGATACTTTGTCGGGTGCTCTCGACGGTGTTCTTCGTGTGACCAAGGCTGGCCGATTGGAAAGATCGCAAGTCGCAAGGCCAGTGAGGATCTAGCCATTGTGCGAGTCCTTGAGAGGCAACGGAACACCAACGACCCCAAGATTCTCCTGAGGTGCTTCAGCATGCAATCACTCGTAACACATAACTCGAACGACGGGGTCTCATTACTGCTTCATGTACTTGTACAGATGAACCCGCCCACAGCAACCATACCCCACACCCTCAGAGCGCCACATCCACTCAACCCTACGCCACAAACCCTCTCCCTGCCTGTACCTATCACCATCGCGAACTTCTACCCACTTCCCCCTCCACCCCTCCAGCTCATCGGTTGTCCATCCAAGCATGCCATTCCTCTCAAGGGAAGACAGGGGTTCGCATTGCTCAAACACCCTTCAGCCAATCACAAGCCCTCTACTCAGAATTCCCTGGGAGACGCTAATGCAGGATGAGTTGTTCAATTGTTGATGGCATGGATTTTGCTTGGGTCCCACCCCGATTTTCTGCCAGCGGGTGAGTTGTGCGAAATAATAGTTGTTTGCTTTCCTCTTATGCATTAATCCTCTCCTCTTTTCCCCTCCCTGCCCGGTGGAGTTGTTCGTTTTTGTTGCAATATTTGGCGCCAGTTGCTGCTTGCGCGGCGCTACAAGGTACCGGAGGCATTGAACCATGTGCAACAGGGGAATTTGAATGGAAGAACGTGAGGAGGCCTGCTTGAGGAAAGAGCCGCGACGAGCGCCTGCGCACGCAATTGCACTGTATTCCTCGACGAACACGTATCCGGACAGCTTGTCATTACGAGGCCGATTGTCGCGCCTCTGCGCATATGGCATACCAAGGTCACGAGGGTCAGGACAGCACTAGTCCACGGTCGACACACGACAGAGACGAAGATACCATTATATCGCTGCAAACTCAGATCACTCCTTATGGAGCGGAAGAAGGGACGAAGCATGCGCAGCCGTACATGTCATTCATACATGGACCAAACTCTTCTCGTCTTTTTTTAGCCGCTACATGTTCGCTGGAATATGGAACAAAGAGGATGATACATGATGAGGAAGGAGCAGTCGCCGTCGTAATGATATGAAAAGAAGTAAACGTGTCGAGCTGGGGAACTGGAATGGCCATCGCTAGCCTGCAGAGCGATCTGCCCGTCTTTTCTTCCATCAAGTCGTAAGAATCATTAAAGATGTCATGTAAAGCTGACGACCGTAATTCGTGAGAACGTAGGCACGTCAACATCGTGAAGTTGCGAAAACACCAAACCCAGTCGAATGCGTCGTAAACGGCACCTGACCGACGCGGTCACGTTACGTCGGTCGAATACGAACAACACAATACCTCACTTGCTGGCTCGGGCGATCAACCACTGGAGAACAGCATCGAGGTTGGTCTCCTCTTTTGCGCTGATGCCGTAGCAGCTCACCTCTCGGTGCGACACTGACTTGAGGTCGAGCGCTTCGATCAGCTCATCCACCGAGAGCTTGTTGGGTAAATCGGACTTGTTGCCCAAGACCAGGAGAGGAATGCCTTCTAGAGCCGGCTTCTCCAACAGGAGTTTTAGCTCCTCGCCAGCCACTGGCAGAGCCTCCTTATCAGCAGAGTCGACGATGAACCTATGGCAATGAGCGACAGGATGCTATCACATGCAGAAGAGACGTACACAATGGCATTCACACCGCGGCAGTACCGCTCCCACATGGAACGGAACCTAGGTTGGCCTCCGAGATCCCAACTGTTGCCGCTGGTCAGCAGATGCGCCTCCGGACTAGTAGACCGTCCTGCACCCCGCAAGGCTGGGCTTGGCGCTGCAAGAGCCGGACATGCGTGACCAAGGAGAACATGGGAAGCACTCACCACTTCAAGGTTACATGACCTTTCTGGACGCGCTTCATATTGAAGCCAACAGTCGGGATGGAGCTAGGACCAGTCAGCGCTTGGCCCAGCTACGATGGCGTTCATGGTTGCGCAAAGCAGTAGCTTCGGGACACGGATGAAACAACGTCGCCGCCGGCTCGCACAACTCGGGACGGATGTAGACCTACTCGACAGTAAACTCTCCTCCCTATACACGGATGGGTCAGCTTGAATGCATCGAGACTGATGATGTCGATACAGGAGGTTGTTTCCGCATCAGGAAGAGACTCACCGCCAGAACTCTCAACAGCGAAGTCTTGCCAGCGTTTTGCAACCCGATCATGGTGATGTCCATCTCAGTCGCCCTGTACGGTGTCAGCGGTCATCAGCCAGGCCATGTTATCGTCGCCCGTGATCTTGCTTTTTCGTGGGCGCAAGCTGAGCAGTTGGCAGAGTATCAAATAGCGCATCAGGCAGGCATCAGAGCGATGGCATTTGACATGGTAAGAAAAGGACAGGTAAGCATACCAGAACAGGCGGAGCAGCCAGTCATAGATGCGACGGAAGAGGTTCGCCATGGTGGTTGTCAGGGCGATTTCTGACTCGGTGCTGTTGTCGTGATCTGGTCGGGAGGAGTGGTGATGTACGGGCGATGGAGGGAAGTCTGGGAACCTTGATCCTTGCTGCGGGGCATGTAATAGGCGTGATCGCCGTAGTCTTAGCAGCAGCAACGGGCAAATGAAGTTAGTTTCCAAAGTAGAAAGCGGATGCAAAGAGCGCAGGCAATGCTGTGAGGAAGTAGAGAAGCAGAGCTGTGCCGCCCTAACGAAAGCCCGGAGTGGTTCACGCTGCAGCACAGTGATGGAGCCGCCGCGGCGTGTGACTTTGGCCAGCGCGCTAGGCAGGGGTGGCCTATCGGACTAGTCTAGTAAAAAAGTTCGAGATTGGCGTCGCAACTTCACAATCGCGCTGCAGCTTGCCAAACGCGACCGCCCCAATACTCTGGGATAATATATTCTGCGCATACTGCTGCGAGTTGCGCCTCTTGTTCCCGGTCTACAGTGACAAACAGCCACCTGCACAAACCATGGCGCCTGCCGCAAGGGCCGATAGCCCGCAGGAATGGTCGACCAAGGCAAGCGACTACTTTTTTCGACATTGACCAACCCCATATCTAATAGGTAATCCAGTTTGACACACTCAGGCGGCACGACCTGTTCCGCAACCCTCCCAAAGACAAGACGGCATATCCCACGCTCGCTGCCGCAGTGGACCCCCACATCAACTCGTTCAACACCATCTTCACTCCCGGCGGCCAGCTAGCTCAGGGCATACGAGACATTGGCACCAAGATCTTCCTCGATGGCGACCCATACGCCGCTCCAGAAGACGTCGGCCAGAGAAACCGCCTCTCTCTGCGCATCTCCGACGTCTTCCTCGACAAGCCAGTCCTGCCGCCTTCCAACAAGGTCGCGCTCAAGAACCGAAATATCTATCCCGCCGAGGCCCGAGAGCGACATGCTTCATACCGCGGCAAGATGCGCGCGCGACTCGAGTGGCGGGTCAACAACGGAGATTGGCAGGAGGACGTCGTGGATCTCGGCGGCGTGCCCGTCATGCTGAGATCGAACCGCTGCCAGCTTGAGGGCATGTCGCCAGCGGCACTAGTCAAGGCGAAAGAAGAGTCTGACGAGCTTGGCGGCTACTTCATCGTCAACGGCATCGAGAAGATTATCCGTCTCCTCCAGGTCAACCGTCGCAACTACCCCATGGCCATCAAGCGTGGCGCCTTTACCAACCGTGGCCCCGGTTACACCCAGTTCGGTATCCAGCTCAGATCGATGCGACCCGACCAGACCTCGCAAACCAACGCCCTGCACTACCTCAGCGACGGCAATGTCAACTTCCGTTTTTCATGGCGCAAGTCCGAATACCTGGTCCCCATCGTCATGGTGATGAAGGCCTTGGTCGAAACCAACGACCGCGAGATTTTCGAGGGCCTGGTTGGCGCCGCCGGCTCAGAAGGTCTGGAAGAGAAGCAATTCGTTACCGATCGCGTGGAACTGCTACTCCGAACATACAAGGTCTACGGGCTGCACACTAAGGCGAAGACTCGCGCGTATCTTGGTGGGAAGTTCAAGGTCGTACTTGGTCTGCCAGCCGATGTCACCGACGAGGAAGCCGGTACAGAATTCCTCCGCAAGATCGTTCTACCTCATCTAGGCTGCGTAAATGTCACACCGAGCCAGGACGCGGACAAGTTCAGAATGCTGCTGTTCATGGCCAGGAAGCTCTATGCTTTGGTCGAAGGCGACTGTGCTGTCGACAACCCGGATGCCGTCCAGAACCAGGAGATTCTGCTAGGCGGCCAACTCTACGGCATGATTCTGAAGGAGAAGCTGGAGGAGTGGCTCAACAGCTTTCAGCTAGTCCTGAGGGAGTGGGGAAGGAAGACGGAGTACAAGCCCTTTACATCTCAAGATTTCACCAAGGATTGGAACTCGAGGATCCTCCGAAGAACACAAATGAACCTTGGTCAAGCTATGGAGTACTTCCTCAGTACAGGCAATTTGATCAGTCCGACTGGTCTCGACTTGCAACAAACATCCGGATATGTTGTGGTTGCTGAGAAGTTGAACTTCCCACGTTTCATCTCCCATTTCCGAATGGTGCATCGAGGTGCTTTCTTCGCCCAGCTCAAGACAACCACGGTTCGTAAATTGCTGCCGGAGTCATGGGGCTTCATGTGTCCTGTCCACACCCCTGACGGTAGTCCTTGTGGACTTCTCAACCATTTCGCCCACAAGTGCAAGATCGCGACTTCCAACCTCGATGTCTCAGCAATTCCCAATCTCGTTGCACAACTGGGCGTATCGAGCAAGTCATCTGCCTCCCTGGAAGCGAGTGTGGTTGTCCAATTAGACGGTCGTGTCTTAGGTTTCTGCTCGCCAAAGCAAGCCAAGGTCATCGCGGACACGCTTCGTTACTGGAAGGTTGAAGGCTCACACAATGTACCATTGGAGATGGAAATTGGTTACATCCCCGGATCCAACGGTGGCCAGTACCCAGGTGTCTACATGTTCTCACAAAGCTCGCGAATGTACCGACCTGTCAAGTACTTGCCTCTCAGCAAGACAGACTACGTGGGACCATTCGAGCAACCATACATGTCGATTGCATGCACGGATGCCGAGATCGTATCCGGTGATTCAACGCACGTGGAGATCGAGCCCACGAACATCTTCAGTATCATCGCCAACCAGACACCCTTCTCGGACTTCAATCAATCGCCACGTAACATGTACCAGGTAAGTTGTAATTGTTCGAAATGCATGTGAGACATACGCTGACTTTATACCTCCACGTTTTCAGTGTCAGATGGGTAAACAATCGATGGGTACACCAGGAACTGCTATGGCCTACCGAACCGACAACAAGACCTACCGCTTACAAACTGGTCAAACTCCCATCGCTCGGCCTCCATTGCACAACGAGTACGGCATGGACAACTTCCCGAACGGAATGAACGCAGTTGTGGCTGTCATCTCCTACACCGGATACGACATGGACGACGCTATGATCTTGAACAAGTCGTCACACGAGCGCGGTTTCGGCCACGGCACTGTTTACAAGACGAAGATTTGTGACCTCGAAGAAGGCAGCCGAAGGAATCGATCAAGCAGGACAGTTACCAAGCTGTTTGGCTTCGCTCCCGAAGGCTTAGTGAAAGCCGCGGCCAAGGAGACTCTCGATGATGACGGCCTTCCTCGCATTGGGACTATGCTGCGATCTGGCGACGTCATTGCTGCATGGCACACTGTTTCGTACGACCCAGCTACCGGCGACTACATCAACCGCGACGGTCAGACGCAGTTCTTCAAATACAAGGACGATGAACTCGCTTTTGTCGAAGAAGTCCGTATCATCGGCGCTGAGGATGGAGCACAACCATGCCAGAAGCTCAGCATCAAGCTTCGCATTCCTCGTTCTCCTGTCGTTGGTGACAAGTTCTCTTCCAGACACGGACAGAAGGGTGTCGTCAGTCAGAAGTTCCCTACTCCAGACATGCCATTCTCGGAAAGCGGTATGCAGCCTGATGTTATCATCAACCCTCACGCTTTCCCCTCGCGAATGACAATCGGTATGTTCGTCGAGTCGCTAGCTGGAAAGTCTGGAGCACTCCACGGTATGGCCCAGGATTCAACGCCCTTCCGCTTTGACGAGCAAAATACTGCTGTCGACTATTTCGGTCACCAGCTATCCAAGGCTGGTTACAACTACTATGGCAACGAGCCTATGTACTCGGGTATCACTGGACAAGAATTGCACGCAGATATCTACATCGGTGTCGTCTACTACCAGCGTCTACGACACAGTAAGTCATTCTTCTAATAACAATCTAGACTTTTACTTACAGTTACGCAGTGGTCAATGATAAGTTCCAAGCCAGAACCACGGGTCCTGTGGTGTCCACGACAGGGCAGCCTATCAAGGGAAGAAGCAAGGGAGGTGGTATCCGTGTCGGAGAAATGGAACGTGATTCTCTACTTGCTCACGGCACAGCCTTCCTTCTCCAGGACCGTTTGATGAATTGCTCCGATTACACCAAAGCAGCCATCTGCCGTACCTGCGGCTCTTTCCTCAGCACAACACCAACTGTCAGCGAGTACGGTCGCAAGAAGGATAGAAGTGGCAAGGACATTACCATCCGTTGCAGAAGGTGCGCCGTATTGGCCGACAACACCAGCAGCAAAGCCGATCTCTGGATGGATGCACAAGGCCTGCGATACTCTGGTGGCGAAGACGTTGCTGTAGTTGCAGTCCCTGGTGTGCTCAAATTCCTTGATATTGAGCTGGCTAGTATGGGTGTCAGGCTCAAGTTCAACGTCGGGCCGTAAAGAGTTGGATGAATTAAGAAATGTAGATGAAGATGATCGAAACGTGTTTGCGCATTTTCATGGCGTATTCTGGTTAGTGGTACTTGTCAAAAAGTCGGTTTAGCAGCATTAATGGGCGTCTGGCGCACGAACGGATCAGCATAGACTGTAGTATGAATTGAAGCATACCCTTCAAGAATCTTGGTTTGTTGTTCTCGAAAGTAGCGGCTTGCGAGCCACCGAAAAAACAGAGAGGGTTTTCTTGTATGTCTTTGTCTCTTCTTTCAAGAGTAAAGTTCTGCATCGTCCATCCTCCTCATATCCGACATGCCACCCATCTCGCCATGCCCAGCATGTTCGGGTCTCTTAAGCGCAGTCCCCTCCTTCAAGTAGAGTATCAACCTAAACGCCGCGTTGCCATTCAGATAATATCTATGCAACCGTTTGCTCCTGATAAACCCCAATCTCTCGTACAGTTTCAAGCTCGCAGTATTCGACACCTCGGTCTCTAGTACTATCTCGTCGGCGTCGCGCGCGGTCATGGCATCAATGGCCAGTCGGACAAGTTGCGTGGCTATGCCTCGGCCGCGGTATTCTTCTTGGGTTGCGAGCATGGCGATGTAGCCGCGGTAGGTGCCGCTGCGGTGCGGTTCGAGTTTGCATGTGATTACGCCGATTAGAGTGTTAGTGGGGGAGAGGGCCTGTGGGTAGGAGTCAGTTTATCTGAAAGATAGAGGGGTGAAGAAGGGACTGGTACCATATAGCACAGGTCACCCCATTGGTACAAGAAATACCGGTATACATAGATACTGTAAGGCTCGGAAAGGTCTTTGGAGATTAGTTGGCGGATGGCGGGGAGGTATTGCTCTTCTTTCGAGGGCTCGTATTGGACGTATTGGAGGTCTGACTCGCTCAGCTCTTTGGCGTCGGTTCTCTTTGCCGGCGCGTTGCTTGTGACGTCGCCATCTTCATTGTCGGCCATGGCGCGTAGGACATGAGAGCGATGCGCGGCAAGTGGAGGGGCTTCAATAGCGGGAGGCTCTCCGGCTTGGCAGCATCAGGAACGTGCTTCTCCTGCATCCTTGTGCCGATCATTCCGTCACATGTCGGAGGTCTCGGTCTTTGGGAAAGATAGACAAAATCCCTCGTGGCAGGCGCCCACGTTTCCTTGAATAACCCCGCGTAGACATTACAACTTCGTGTACATGTCTTTTCTAAGACGCCGCTTCGGCGGTGGCAGCGCTGGCGCCGGCGACGATAGCGAGATCTCAACACCCGACCTGTCCCGCGAGCCCTCGCCCGGACCGGACGGTAAACGACCTGCGAACCTACGCCTGATCACCGCCGAGCAGCTCCAGACGCTGAAGAAGAAGGGCCAGCACAAGAAGCGAAGAAATGTATGGGTGTTTGGACTTGGAGGCCTGTTTGGGCTGCTGCTGGCCGGCTTCTTTGCCAGCAGTAACGACATGATTGATCTAAGCAGTCTGGAGGGTGTCAACCTCGAGAGCATCATGGAAGCGCTACCGGACAACTTTGTGAAGAGTGCGCAGCAGTTGCAGGTGCGCGATATTTCCGCTTCTTCCAAGAATCGACTGCACTACGGCAACTACGAGTTGTCAGGAATCGAGGCTGACTGCCCCAACTCAGTAGAAAACAGAACGAGACGCCGTAAACTACGATTCCTTCGCCGTCGGTCTCCATGCGCAGAAACAAGGCATAAAAGCCAAACATCCCGTCATCATGATTCCCGGCGTCATCTCGACAGGTCTTGAATCTTGGGGTACTGAAGAAAGCTCAAGACAATACTTTCGCAAGAGGCTATGGGGTTCGTGGACGATGATGCGCGCACTCGTCTTGGACAAGGTCCAGTGGAAACGGCATATTATGCTCGACAAAGACACGGGTCTTGATCCCCCAGGCGTAAAGCTACGAGCAGCCCAAGGGTTCGACGCAGCTGACTTCTTCATAACGGGCTACTGGATATGGAATAAGATCCTCGAGAACCTCGCTACAATAGGCTACGATCCCGGGAATGCCTTCACGGCGGCTTACGATTGGCGCATGTCATACATGAACTACGAGATCCGTGATCAGTACTTTACCCGTCTAAAGTCCCACATCGAAGTTGCAGTGCGCGTATCGGACAGGAAGGTCGTCCTCCTCTCGCACTCCATGGGCTCTCAAGTACTATACTACTTCCTACATTGGGCGGAAGCAAAGGGATACGGAAATGGTGGGTCGGGTTGGGTGGATGAATACATCGATAGCTGGATCAACATCAGCGGATGTATGCTCGGCGCATTGAAAGATATGCCCGCCGTCCTCTCCGGCGAGATGAAAGACACTGCCCAACTGAACGCCTTTGCGGTCTACGGTCTGGAACGTTTCCTTTCCCGCTACGAACGCGCCGAGATCTTCCGCGCAATGCCCGGCTTGTCTTCCATGCTGCCGCTTGGTGGAAACGCCGTTTGGGGCGACGAGAATGGTGCGCCTGACGACCTACCTGGCCAGAACGTTACCTTTGGCCCCTTCATTCGTTTCCGCAACGCCAATTCTACCATGACGCAAAAGAATATTACCGTCGACGACAGTCTGCCTTTTCTCTTCCGCAACACAGAACCCTGGTTCAAGAAGATGATTCAGTCATCTTACTCCCATGGCGTAGCGCATACCACCAAGCAGGTTGAGGACAACCAATTTATCCCCGCTAAATGGGTGAACCCTCTCGAGACGCGACTGCCGCTCGCTCCCAACTTCAAGATCTATTGCTTTTATGGTATCGGTAAAGATACGGAGCGTGGGTACTACTACCGCAGTGATGACGATCCTTTGTCGGGGTTAAATGTAACGCTCGATACCATGTACACCCAGGATAATGTTGACCACGGCGTCGTCATGGGTGAGGGAGATGGAACAGTCAACCTCCTTAGTTCAGGTTACATGTGCACTAAAGGATGGAAGATGAAGAGATATAATCCAGCCGGCGTCAAGGTCACAACGTTTGAAATGAAACATGAGCCTGATCGATTTAGCCCTCGGGGCGGTCCGAATACTGGTATGTTGTATCCTCTCTTATGTTTCTTGTTCTTGTTGTTGGGTTTTTGCTGACGAGACTTGTGAAACTAGCGGATCACGTTGACATTCTTGGGAGGATGTCATTGAACGATTTGATTTTGCAGGTTGCTGGTGGACGAGGTGAATTGATCAACGAGACTATTCACTCTAATATTAGGGAGTATGCCGAAAAGGTTAAGATCTATGAGGAGGAAGCGTGAATTTCTTAGGTAGTGGATGTGCTTCAGACCATGAGGTGGTATTATGGCTGTTACGCCTAGACGTCGGATCATGACCATGAGGACGAGGATGACTAGCGTGGTTGTGACACTTATGGGATGGTGGTGCGATTGATTGAGCCTGGAATGATACCATAGACTAACACTTGTTTTGAAGCCACTCTTTAGCCTGGCCATATACAATGAGCTCCACTGTCGTGGATTTTCCGGCATCTCTTGCAGATGCCATGAGCTTTGAAACGTTGGCGCAGCTACGTAGGTGGCAGGCAGTAACTCCATAAAACCTCATATGCGGTAAACTGGATATGTCTTCATATTCGTCTTCACCTTCAAACAAAAGGCAGCACAACATGACTTGCATGCTCCCCACCAACATGCACCAAGTGCACCCCTTTATTCCTCTCCTCCAACTCCACCTTCTTTCTCGGCCCAAACTCTTGTACAAGCGGATACTCACCACTAACTTGCACACTAATACTCTCTCCAGCCTCAAAATCTACACCCATGGCCCACAGCCCAATCTCCAACTTCACCACCTCTCCTGGAGTAATCTTTTGTACTTCGTCGTGAGTGTGGAAGGGATACTGCGGATGAATAGACCTCGAAGGATCGGTCTTGCGGTGCGAGGCACGGAGGATCCCAGTGGGTCCGTAATAAATCATTAGGTTGCTGTAGTCTGATTCTGGGATGTCGGCAGCGCTGTTGTAGGGAGCGGCGGACCAAGGGATGTTGATGGCGATCATGGGCTTGCCTTGCTTATCTAGTTTGCGGATCAAGACGTAGACAATCATGTCGTTGAAGTCTGGACACGACATGTACAGCACGGCTTTGGGTAGGCCCATTAGGCGAGTTGGTTTGTCGAACTTGAGGGTGAATGCCGCGTGGGAGATGGGCGAGGTGCCGCTTTCGGAATCGTAGGAGAGCGTGCTAGTGTTTTTCGGTGCACTGCTTTGAAGTGTGTTGTTGTCACTGAGGTAGAGGGTACGGTACTCCGTTCGCGGTATGGGAAAGTCTTCTTCGACAATGGGGTAGATGGCTTCTTTGTCGCCGTAGTTAAGCGACGACATGCGCACACGTGGTGTATTCTCCCAATCGTTCTTTTCGCCCTTGAGATAGCGGTCGAAGAAGGAAGCGAGCTCGTCGATGGATTCCTGAACTGCCCAGAGATCGTACCATTCTTGGTAAGGATCCCAGCGTAGCCACTTATCCTTGGTGTCCACTTGCATCCAGCCGCGTATTGAGCCCATCGTGTGGACAAAACTCGAGTAAGATGCGACGATGTACGTGGGGATCTTTATGCTTGCGATATCTGCCCTCTTATCTGCCCAGTAAGGGTTCATGGTTGATGACCGCCGGTACATCTCCTTGAAATCTTCGAGACCGTTCTTCCCACGAATAACGTGTTCAGTAATGAAGTCGAAAAGTCCATTGTCCCACGCTCCTCCGCGTACGAATTGCTCTCGGTAAAGGTCACCACAAGCTTCCCAAGGCGCTATGGCTTTGAGTGATGGGGGTTGTGTCGCCGCGATGAACCATTGTACGATACCGAGATGTGAGTTACCAGCAAGTCCGATCGAACCGTTACACCTGTCAATGGTCAATTTTGTATCGTGCTGGAGACTAACGCGATACCCACCAGTCCATTTTTGCCAGCTCTTCGATCACATCGTGCCCATCCTCGCCTTCTTGCTTTCCCATGATAACAATGTCTCCGTCTGAGTCGCCTGCACCTCTTGCGTCCACATTAACGACTGAATAACCACGAGGACAGTATTCCGCCGGATCTGGTCCTTCGAATCGCTCAAGACCACTGAGACAGCCTTTTGGCACGCCGCAACCCCATTTTACCTGGGTGGTATTAGTTACTGCTCTTGCTCAAAGTCAATTTTCATATGAAACACATACCTTTGACATCATGTCAATGCCCGTGTGTTTCTTGCCGAACGGACTCCAGGCCACGATCGCAGGCACCTTGACATCACTCTTGTCACTACTGACTGGTCGGTAGATATCGCAGTATAGAGTGCAGCCATCTCTGACTTTGACGGCCACGTCGTGTTCAGCGATCATATCTTCAGAGAGCGCGCGTGCCCCATCTCGACTTTGGTATCCTTTTGGAAGTGTCTCTTTGCGCGGGTTAAATCCTTGGTATCCATTCTCGCCCACCTTGGGTGGTTTGACCGCAAGATTGGCAACTTGGAAAGAGAGAGGCATGATTGAAGAACGATGAAAAAAAGATAGTAGCCTTTTGAGAGCGATGTGCGGCGACATCATAAGGAGGATTCATCTTGGTTTTGAAAGACCGCGACTTCGGCCTGAGACCCAGTTGTCACCGCGTGAGTACCGCCCGACCGTTCTCGGCCGCGACGTCCCTTGCCGATAAACCGTTTATTTGATTCTTGTAACAGTCTTGGAGGTTTAGTGTCGGCATGTGGGGAGTTTCGAGATGCAAATGGGCGCTAGATCTCGCCCGTTCTCGACCGTGATGTATGGAGCCGCAGGGTCTACCCCACACAGAAGCTTGTCTCTCCCCACAGCAAGCGGCCGTGGACGGGCGAGCCGGGATTATACCTCCGGGTGAGTGTGTAGTGATGCGAAGTATATCAATAAGTGACCGTTGATGACCATCGAGTCCATATCCACAAATTTACTTCACACACAGCATCACATTTCATTGCAACCATGGCACCTTTTCTTGACGAGAACGAGAGTATGAGCGCCCAGCAAAAGTATGGCGACTGGCGAGATGAATTCTATGAGAAGGGCTATGTAGTCCTCAAGGGCGTAGTTCCCAAAGAGCGAGCTCTAAAGTACCGCAACAAGATGATGGACTGGCTTGGCACCTTCCCCAACGACTTCGACATCAAGAACCCAGAGACATGGACCAAGGAAAATCTTCCCCAAAGCTTCAAGAATGGAATGTACCTGAACTACTGTGCTGCACATGAAAAATATGTCTGGGAGGCTAGACAGTGAGTACTTTCGATCACTAAAGACGCGTCAATGATGGTAGCTGATACTCTTGCGGAAAGGGAACCTGGTGTTTTGGAAGCCTTTGAGAAAATCTGGAATACGAACGAGCTTATTGTGTCATACGACACTATCAACCTGACACTGCCGAATGCATCGAAGATGGCTGGTTCAAAGCCATGGCCGCACGTGGATCAGGCACCCGAGCGGCAAGGCCTGTCTTGCGTACAGGGCATTATCAATCGTATGCCGAACCTCTTCTCGTGGATTTGCCTTAGTCAAACTGCTAATGTCATCTTTAGTCTCTGAGGCCGGACCCAAAGACGGCGGGCTTGTTGTAATGGAAGGTAGCGCCAAGCTCTTCGACCAGTTCTTCAGAGAGCACCCACCCGACCGAACCAAGGGCCCTTTGGCTGCTCTTCACTACGACTTCTACCCGTTCCAAGATTCGGATGTGAAGTGGTACGAGGACCATGGCTGCAAAATGGTCAAAGTTTGTGCTGAGCCTGGTGACCTGATCTTGTGGGACTCGCGCCAGATGCACTACGCTGTATACCCAGAGACCGACAATATCCGCACAATCATATATGCCTGCTATACCCCAGCTGCCATGGCATCCAAGGAAGATCTGGAGAAGAAGAAGGAGATCTTTGAGAAGTGGGAGGCGACGACACATTGGCCACACATTAACATCCACTCGCAAGGAAAGGCTAAGGTGGATGGAAAACTCGACCCGTGGGAGCGGACGGAGCCGTTGGAGAAGCCAGACTTGACCGAAAAGCTGCTCAAGTTGGCGGGTGTGAAGCCATATTGAGATCGGCGTATTGTAGTATATGAATCTCGTTGATAGAGACCAGTTCGTAAAGCCTTGTATAGCATACCCCTCACATCTGTGCGAACACTTCGTCCCAGTATTCAAAAGTGAATGTTTCCTGAAGCGTGTTGCCAATACCATCGAACATATCGATGTTCTCGTAGTTTCCATGGTGGGCAAAACCATCCATTGCAGGAGCCGAATTTGACAAGTCATTGCTGGTGCTATGGGCGGCCATGGATAGCTGCTGAAGTAGTGCATGGATGGTACGCGGTACTCCAGGAAGCTCAGAGTCGTGCCTCTCAAGTACAGGCAAGAGACCTTCAAGTACAGCCGAGCCTTTTGCAGCATGAATGGCAACCTCTGAGTGCTTCTTCAACTCCAGGAATGCCATTCTTAGAAGGTTGACGATTCGAAGTTTAGCATCGCCTCGGTAATCATGGGGATTTGCAAGCATGTCCAACGAGACATAGATAGCAGACGCGACCGTCGAAGCAGACACAACCCATACTAGTCTGTACATTCTAGGTGCGGGTGCTGCGTAATAATTCAGGATTCGGTTGGCCGACTGGAGGGCAAGGTGCCTGGAGTTTATCGGATCGTCCTCTGCATCTTTCGGGATTAACACACGCGCTATCGTCAGCGTTATGAAATCAAGAACGTAATGAATCAGATACCTCTGGAAAGGTATCCAGGGGTGCTGCGATTCCCAAATCCTATCATCTTCGTTGGCCGGGAAGCTTGGCGATAAGTGCAAAGGCAGATCTCGCCGGACAGTCTCAACCTCTTCTATGGCTTTTATGAACTTCAAGTTCGTTTGATGCGTGTTCGCTTTGATGTACAGATAAACGATGTAAGAAACACGGCACATGATCGAATGGTAGTGCGCCGGAGAAGGGGGAGCCAAGGTATTTGATTCGTGGGAGGCGGGACTATCAGTCATGAGACCTCTAGGCAGTATATAATCATCTTGCCTGCTGATGGTCGAGACATAACAGCAAAAACTGGCGGGTGAGATCGAAGGGGGTCGTGACCAACTTGCGAGCCTATGGATTTTCAGTTACATGGGTTATACTGACAAGTACGCGAGCTGCAGGGCAGGTACATACCAGTCCCGAATGACACAAGCCCACCATAGCCGACGCCCTAGCTCTCGCTGAGAAGGGGTCGACCACTCCGGTCTTCGGCAGAGATCCTT